TTTTCGTAATTCTTGAAGATTAAAAAATTTTGGACGTTGATCAAGGCGAATTTATATAAGGTGGTGTTGTTTCATCAGCTGTGAGTAGCGGGTGATTGTCAAAATTTTATATTTCGCTAGTGAGTGAGTGAAAACGTGAGAGTGTTTGTATTTTCTGTCAACCTTTTCCCTTCGGGGAAGAATAGCTAAAGCTTGACAATGGCCCGCTCAAAGCAAAAACGAAATACAAGTAAATGTTGTATTTGTTGAATCGATACCACCTTATATAAATTCGCCTTGACGTTGATGTTTTCTAAATTTAAAAAAAATTCTGAAACTTTGTTATATCAATACAAAATTTTGAAAAGTCCAGAAAAGTGGAACAATTTTGGAATTTTTCAAAACTGTTAATATCCTTTAGAGTTCTAAGAATTTTCTATTTTTTACAAACAAGTACATGAACATTAGAATTTTTCGACAATTTGTGATGTTTCATATTTTTACATTTTAGGATAGATTTTAGGATAAATAACATTCTTAAAATTTTGGAAAATATAGAAAATTTCTAAAATCTCAATAATTTTGTACATTTCAAAATATTCTCATTTCACCAAAATTTCTAGAATCTCCTGGATTTCGATAGTTTTTGAAATTTTGGAAATTATCCTAAAAAGAAGAAATCTCAAGAAATTTAATATATTATGAAATTCAAAATTTTGGAATTTTCGTTGTTTTCTGAACCTGCGAAAATATTCAAACTTGCTGTGACTTTCAACTGTGTAAAATAATACAAATTCGAAAATATAACAAAAAAAGTAAAAATTGAAAATTAAGTACATACAGGCAGGTTCTGCAATTCACTTTCGAGTGAATTTCAATCAAACTCGCTTTGAATTCAATTTGGCAGGGGTTGAAATACACTCGGAAGTGAATTGCAGAACCTGCCCGATAATTTCAAAATTTTGAGAATTCAGTGAATTCGAAAAACTGATAGGCCTACTTAAATAACATAATACTTCGAGCTTAACACACAGCTAAAATTTAAAACTCAAGTGAAATTTGACACACTTTTTCTATGAATTAAAGTTTTCAAAAGCATCCATCCTTTAGATTTGTTCCCCAAGCTTCTCGAAGTCATAGAATTTCCCCAATTTCCCCTACCTGGGTCCGCCACTGGGGTGGTTTGTACTAATTTGCGCAGTTATTGCGTTGAAATCAAAACCATTTTGATATTTTGCTCATGCTTGTCCTATTGTACAATAAATTGTGTTGCGTATGGGGACAACTGCAAAATTTTTAGTCTAATTTTGATTTTTGTGTCCAGATCTTGCTGTAAAATATGGATAAGAGCATAGAAAAACGTAAAATATTCTAATATTCTTTTTTTGCGTTTTGAAACTGAAGCGATCAACACATTCAACGCACATTTGGTTGGTTGGTTGCAGTGCTTCCTAGTCGCTGCCCAGGACACAATTAGCGCATTATTGCACCATTTTGATGCACTTCTCGCGGGGGATAAATATTTTGTCTATGCACTTCCTATGTTGCTAGGTCGAACCATTTCGACCCTCTAATGAATCTGCCGATTTCGCTGATGGTAGCTCCTGATAGGTCGGTTAGTTCTGCTACTAGATGTTTCCCTAACGTCTTGTGTCTAATGTTCGAAAGGCCTGGACATTCACACAGGAAATGCTGGACACTTTCTTCGCTATCTTCTAGTTGACAGCTGCGGCAAATCATATTATGGGGTAGACCTATTTTTGACGCATATTTGCCTATGGGCCAGTGGCCAGTGATGGTTGCTAAAATTCTAAATACCTCTGGCCTTGATCTGCTAAGCAGGTCCAAGGTTTTCGCCCTGTTATAGTCAGGCCATAGTTTTCTCGCTATCTTACAAGTCTGTATATCTGACCACCTGCGTCTTGCCAGTGCAAGGAAATGCGTAGTAATCTCTCTTTGGACTACTCCAAGAGGGCAACCCAGTGCCACTGCCTGGGATTCATCCAAACCGGCTCCTGCCTTCGCCAACTCATCCGCCTTCTCATTGCCTTCCCAGAAGGCGAGAGAGACGGTATTTGACTGAGACACTGAGCGCAATATTACTTTGCATTCCCCAACTAACTTAGATTTGGTAACCGGTGACGCTATTGCCAATAGCGCCGCCTGGCTGTCAGAGTATATTGTTGCTTTACTGCTGTGTCCAACTCTATTGCCTAGGATTTTGCAGGCTTCTAGGATCCCTAGGACTTCCGCTTGGAAGATGCTTGTATTATTTCCCAACCGTAGAGACAGAGCCACGCCGAGTTCCTTGGAGTAGACACCTGCTCCCACACCGCAATCCATCTTGGATCCATCGGTATATAGAGAGATCTTCTCTCGGTCGGCCACTCGGTTTCTTCTCCAGTCCCTTCTGGATGGGAATAGCACTTGCACGTTACAGCTGAAGTCCAAATTGCCTACCATATAATCTGTCGTCCTATTTAATTGCATTTGATTTATGATCAACCCATGTCCGAAGTGTCTAGTCCTCCAAAGGCCCGACTCTCTGAGTCTGACCGCCGATTTCATAGCCACTTCTTTCAGGTGAAGATCAATAGGAATTAAATTGAGGATGGCGTTTAAAGCTTCTGCCGGGCAGGATCTTAGTGCGCCTGTTACTCCTGCGCTTGCTGCCCTTTGTATGCTTCTTAGCTTGCTGACATTATATTGTCTGCTTAGCCCGGGCCACCAGACCAAGGCGCCGTATGTTAGAATTGGTCTTATGATCGCGGTATACATCCACATCACAAGTTTAGGATTTAGTCCCCAGTTTCTACTGAAGATTCTCTTGCAAGTGTAGTATGCTATGTAGGCCTTCTGTCTACGGAATTCGACATTGGTTTTCCAGTTAAGTTTGTTATCCAGCACGACTCCAAGATAATTTGCGCTGGGGGACAATGAGAGTGCCTTGCCGTCTAGCGATGGTAGCTTGAATTGTGGTAGTTTGTGTCTGTTTGTAAATAGGATAAGTTCTGTCTTGGCTGGGTTCACATTTAGGCCGCTTCTCGTAGCCCAGGCGTGTAGCCTTCCCAGGGTTCCTTCAAGGATTTCGCTAACGGTAGAGAGGAATGGACCTGTGGCTGCTATTACAACATCATCCGCATACGCCACAACTTTGACTCCCCCTCTATTGAGTTCTAGCAATATACCGTTCAGGGCTATCACCCATAGCAGTGGTGAGAGCACTCCGCCCTGTGGAGTGCCCCTGTTCACATGATGTATAATAGAGTTAGCCCCATTTGTTGCCTGAATGATTCTATTGACTAGCATCGATCGTATCCATCTACAAACACTGTCGTCAACACCAATATCTATCAAAGAGTCTATGATGGTGTCAACCTCAATGTTATTAAATGCGCCCTCGATGTCAAGAAATGCCGCCAGAGTATATTGTTTAAAGTGCAACGATCTTTCTATTAAGCTCACCACTTCATGTAAAGCAGATTCAGTGGATCTGCCTTTGATGTATGCATGTTGTGCTGTTGAGAGTGTCGCTTCACCTAACAGCGATCTTATATAAATGTCGAGAAGCCTTTCCATTGTTTTAAGCACAAAGGAGGTAAGGCTTAGGGGTCTAAAATCTTTTGCTATTTCCTGGTTTTTCCTTCCTGGCTTGGGTATGAACACGACTTTTACCCTTCTCCAGCTTTTAGGAATGTAGCACAAGGTAATAGTAGCCTTAAAAATAGTCTCAAGTAACGGTGCTATCTCTTCCTTCACCCTCTGGAGCATTGCTGGGATTACGCCATCTGGTCCAGGGGATTTGAAGGGAGAGAAGCTTTTGATAGCGTAAATAATCTTTTCCCTGCTCACGATCGAGTTCAACAGTATACTGCTAGTTGAACCAGGTTCAATTGACCCTGATGTGGGTGGATGTCGAATACATTCCGGGAAATGGAACTTGACTAACGTGTTTAGAGAATCACTTTAGAGTTCTCTATAGAAGAGCAGTAAGATTGCCAGGATTTAGTTTTAGATTTTCTCAATTCCTTCTTATAAGATCATAGGGCGCTTTTATAAGGCGCCCAGTTTTTGGTTCAAAGCAATCATTGTAGATTTTCCTTGATTTGTCTCTTTGGGCTCTGAGATCCCCATTCCACCAGGGTGGGGACTTCTTTCTTGCTGTACTAACTGGAGTTGATCTTTCAAAGGCTTTCTTCATAACCACTTCTAGTTTATTTACTCTATTATCAAGGTCCTCAACTGTAGTGACAGTTGTATTTAGTGGGAGCTTACTTAGTTTACGCTTAAGTGTGTTACTATATCTTTCCCAATTAGTCCTGTGGTGGTTTCTGTATTTCGAGGGGGTGTTGGAAATTCCGTGCAGATTAAAGAGGATCAGACGGTGATCAGACAGTGAAGGCCTATCAGATACTCTCCACTCTTCTACAGACACGCTGTCGTTCTCTGACAACAGGGTTAGATCCAGCACCTCCTCCCATCCAGGAAACCGGTTTGAACTCGGGAATATGAATGTGGGTGTATTACCTATATTGCAGATGCTTAAGTTAGTATTTAATAAGAAGTGTAGTAAAGACTCACCTCGGTCGTTCTCGGTAGAACTACCCCAAACTGGATGCCTTGCATTCGCATCGCAGCCGACGACTATAATTTGTCAGGGGTTTTTGGCTATTATCTCCTGGATTTCGGTTGGCGGACTGTCCCTATCGTGGGCCATGTATGATGAGGCCAGGAGTATACTTGGCTGTCCGGTGGTCTTCACCTTAACCATTGTTGTATCTGATGTGCTGAAATTAGAGCAAAGGAATGCATTTATACCGTTCTTGATAAGAATACACGCCCGCGGTTTACCCACCTCGCTCTTATAGTAGAGTTTATAATTATTTATGTTTAGTCCCATAACTGTATCGTGCTTGACCCAGGGCTCTTGAATTAGGCTAATGTCTATATCCTCCTCACTGAGAAGGACAACTAGATTATCTGTAGCATATTTGAAGTGCTGCAGATTTATTTGGGCTACTTTAAGTTTCTGGTTCAGGGTCATCTGTCAGCTTCACACCCATGAGAAGCTCACCAGCTCCATCAACCCCGGGATCTTCTTCTACCGGGCTAACCTCTCCGAGGAATACCCGCACTCTAGCCTTACGGATACCGAAGCCGAGCCGATAGTCAGCCTTCTCTAAGGCGTCTAGTGATTCTGCGCAAATAGCTAGCAGAATGGGCTTATTTGTAGGCCTTCTTGGCTCTTCAACCTTTATAAGCTCCCATTCCTCCATCGCCGGTATGTCTTTATTATGCAGCTTAAGACACCGCAGCAACTTTTCGCCTGGTTCATCCATCGGAGGCAGCCAAATGCGCGCACGTGGTCTCCTTGGAATGTCCTTAGCTGGGATCAGCTTGAGCTTCAAGCCGACAAAAGTGTCGCTGATCTTAGCGACGCATCCAGCAAGGAAATCCAGGGAGAACTGGCTCGCGCACTTGACTACCCGGTATCCCCGTAGGGGTTCCGACGAGTCGAACTCTGGGTGAGGACCTTCGGGGTTGTCGAGTACGTAGTTCATTACGAGGCTCGACAGCCTCACATCAATCTCCACCCATTTTTGTTGCACTGCCAGCGGTGTCTTGCTATTTTCATCTATTATCGCCGCCTGTAGGTGATCTCTGGCGACGTCACTAAAATAGCGATGCTTCGCGGGTGCTGCGGACTCCGCATCACCTCCTTGCTTAGCCTTCTTTGTAATGGCCCCTTGGCCGCCTTCATTATGAAAGCGGTTCCGTTTCTTTGCTTCGGTGGCCTCGATTGTGGCTGCACGATCTGTCTGTAACTTTTCGTACTCTTCCACTATTTGCATGTATTTTGCCTTGTCTTCCTCGTCACGCTCATGTACCGTACCGGCCGCTGCATTTTTGTCAATTTTATTTAACATATACAGCGCCTTCTGGTACATCTGTCTCATGACCACGCCCGAGGGTTTCCTTTTCTTAGAAGCGGGATTGCTGCCTGCAACGGCCGCCGATTTGCTGGTTGTTGGTTGCTCGTCCGGAGTACTACGGCAGGCACTACCGGTGCTATTTTTGACTATTTACAGAGTGGTGATACTTTGTCTGGCATCTTCCACCCTGCTGGTTTCTGGCGCTTGTACAACTGGGGTACTATGGCTTGCGCCACCAGGAGTACTTGCAACCATCTTACCTGTCTTTGGGGATTTGAGGAGCTGCTCCTCCTCTGACAGCGTTACGTCGTCCCCTTCTTCGCTGGTACGCTGTTCATGTTGCTGTTGTTGGTTTGTTTGTTGTTTCTGTTGTTGGTTTTTTGTTTGTTCTTGTTTTTCCATATGTGGTCCAACGAGTAGTCCGGAAAGGGTTAGTCGCTCGTCCGCAGAGCCGGACCGGGCATGGGAGGGGACCGTACGCGACCAGCCATTTTTTACTACCCGCTGGCCATTCATCCATCGGTACGGTTGCCTACACACCTTGGCTAGGGTAGTGTTGGTACGGTAATCCTGCCATTTCCACCTTCAGCAATAAAACAACACTCCAGCTTGGATTGTTAAGAAATATTGCCGAAGGCTTCAATACCAGGCTTCCCTCTTAGTTCATGGAGGCATGATACAATTCACACTGTGAATTATACCATGACACCATTTAAGCCCCCCTCGCCACGGCAAGACGACCAACGCTGAGGAGGCAACGCACATTTACTTGAGCAACGTTTCTCCAAAATAAGGTTTACGCAATTTTATTGTGTAGTAATTTCCACAATAATGACTTGTACAAATCTTTGGTTGCGCAATTTTGTGTGGTTTAGGGGCCCTACAAGTTTGTTTTTCGTTATGCAAATAAGCATATAGATCCCCTATTTTTGTTAAGGCAAGTAATATATTTTTTTTTATAACTATGGATTTAATTATAAAATTTTAATAAATATTATTTTTTCCTTTCAAATAAAAGTTTAAAAAATAACAGTTGTGTTTGCTTTTGATACTTTTTCTGCTTGGAATTTGATAATTTTTTTAAGCCCGCGGCAACACTGTTTCCAACAAATGGCCATTTGTTGTAAAAAGGCATACATAGTGCCTGCGATCAGGGATGCAATATCGCTCATCAAATCATCGATAATCACCAAAATTAACCAAAACAAGTAAGAGCAGCGCTGTCTTCGGCTATGCCGAAGGCTTCATACCTTTCATGAACATCTGCAAATTTTAGTTTGACAGATTACTGATTTTGAATACATCTGCATACATCGATAGAGGAGTTACATACTTATATAAAAAATCGCATCTAAACAATCAGAGGTATGGAAGATATACTTTATATGGCACCAATCTAAGTGATTTTCACTGCTATGTGATCGGTATGTAAACCGATTGGGCAATTTATTGGGTTTAGTTTCCTACATAAAGGAGATATATCGCAAAAACTGGTATCTGAACAATCAGTGCTATAGGAGATAAAGCTTATACAGCATAGATTTGGACGATTTTCTCAGTAGACTTTGTATTATTATTTATAAAATATCTTACGAAATTTATCGGTTTTAGCTGTTCAAATAAAGGAGTTTTACAGTAAAATCCCAAATCTGAACATTCAGATGTATGGAAGATATATGTTGTAGTCACCCGATCCTTGTTATTTTCACTGTAAGTATTCTGTTAATAATGAGTGAAAATGGTGCAAAATTTCATGTTCGTAGCTGCATAAATGGAGAAGTTATAATGACAAATCTCATATCCGAACAATCAGTTGTATGGGAGCTATATGTTATAGTGGTCCGATTCTTCCGGTTCCGCCAAATGATTAATACATTATAAAAATACACCCACCTACCAAATTTGATCCGGATATCTCGAAAACTGAGAGACTAGATTGCATACAAACAGACGGACAGACAGACAGACGGACAGACGGACATGGATAAATCAACTCAGCTCGACGTTCTGATCATAAAAGTTTACATTTTAATGGGTCTATCTCTTTTTGTTCTGGTACTTACAAACATCGGACCAAAGTTATAATACCATTTCATGCTCATGAAAGGTATAAAAATATCGGCTGATCGATGTATCGACCAAAAACTCTCTAAATGTTTTAAATGTTAAAAAAAAACTATTCAAACAAAAACGAGTTTACGTCACAAATAGACAGATCTTCGATTGCTAACCCCTTTTAGGTGTTAAAAATGTAGGAACTTATTATAGCATTGTTTTACACTTAAAAAGTTAAAAAAATATTGTCGATGTCCATATATCGGTTTTCAAAACATCGCGATAAAAATATCAATATCGACCAAAAAGTCAACGATATAGCTAATAGGAATGCAAACGATATAGCTAATATCGATATATCGTTTGCATTCCTAGCTGCGATGCAGTCAGTAAATTAGAACAGTATTAACATGCACTCAGCATTAAACATTCAACCCTAAGATCTCCAATGCTACGCATAAATACTGCGCCCTTTACAAATCCCACGTTCATGATGATGATACATATGGATGGATGTACATATATACATACCTTCATATGTATGTGAGCAGATGTGGGTATGCATACCCTGGGAGGCAAAACACCGAGCAACAGGATTCAAGTAATAAATTATAAAATTTGACATTTTCAGATTCAGATCCGCTTCAGACTATGTTCTGTTGCATGCCATGTTCAGGCTCCTAAACAGTGTTGCCAGTTAAGCCGTTTTCCGGCTAGATTTAGCCGGTTGCGATGGCAAACAGACGAAGGAAATTTGGTTTAGCCGACACACAGAGGGGTATTTGGCCGATTTAGCCGGCCAAAAGTCGAATTTTCCAAGCGCACTTTTTTCTTTTATAACTGAATATAGGGTGCAGAGAATATAATTCTTGACTGGATTCCGTTATTTTTTAATCCCTTTTTGCTTTAATTCGCTCGCACCGCGCTGTCAAAGTGCCGTGTTGATAATTGTTTATTTGGTTTTCAGAAGCGTTTAATACAAGCTGAAGTTTTAAAAAACTGTTTTAAATCGTGTGTTAATTTTTAGATTATATTAAATTGGATAATTGTAAAGCAGATAAATACTATATATAATCCAAATAGTTTAATACAAATATAATATGAACTGGTACCGGCAGAGCTACAAGGAAAAATATCGTATTTTTGCTAACTTCATTGGATTAGAGGAATGAACTACAGTCAAAGTTATGTAACACCACTCAACGGCGTTGAGATTCTTGCTTGGGTGTTATGCTTGACAGTTCATAGTTTGGAAACAAACAAAAAAAAACTGCTGAAAATGTGCGTTTGCTGTGCAGTCACCATTGGAAATACTACTGCCGAAAAATAAACCGAACATACTGCTGCAGTGCTGTACCAGTTTTCTTTACATGTACAGGGTGTTCTGTAAAAAAGTTCAACGAGTAAAGGGGGTGATAGGAAAGTCAAGACGCCCAACAACGTTAAGGGGGGCGTGGTTGAATATAAAAAGTTGGAGAGTTGCAGGAAAAAAATAGTTGTCAGTACATTTAGATAAAATTCTCTGCTAAGGGTAGCAGTAAAATCGTAAGAATTTTTTCTCAAACTACATATATGTATGTATGTATTTATCTCATTGCTTTAAACAATCAATTCTTGTAAATATGTATGTATATATATCCAAAGTTTTCTAGGAAACGACTCTAATGATTTTGATGGAATTTTGCATTCAGATAATGTTTTTAATTTTAAAGGTATCTGGAGATATTTGTACAAAGTTGCCTCGTATTCGAAATTATTTATAATTATTAATTCTAAGAAAGTACAAAAGAGCACTCAAAATTAAAGTTAAAAGACATTCCAAATAAAACAAACTAGTATATACTACAGTTAGTTCGATGAGTGTATGAAATTTCTGCGTGTTAGATAAAGTGCAAATTATTTCAATAAAACTCAACATAATGGTTGGTCCATATAGTTTTTTTCTAATCATATGTTATTTTGAATTTGATTTTTTAAACAGGTAGCAATTCTACTAAATGTAGTTAAAAATTCAGCCCATTAAAAGCCATTTTGGATGATATCCTTAGCGTAGTAATTCATTGAAATTAATTGAATTACATTTCTTGACAGGTGGCAAATCATCTCACGTTTCATATACATATTGTTATAATTAATTTAACCTATTATCAACATTGAATTTAGTTTTTAAACAGGTGGCAGCCCTGCTAGTAATAGTTTCTAACTATTACATTATTAAACTTTTTAGTCTGACACCCATATTGTTATATATATATATATACGCGTAGGTATTAATGTTTCTAAAATCGGACCTTGATATGATGGAGGCTATCGATGTCAAACTTTAAGCAACTTTATTTTCATTGTTTTGGTGGAATACTTGGACATCCTCCCCCTCTATTTACTTGATTTTAAACATTTACAGTTTTAAATATCATAACACGTCGTTTCTAAATATTTTGAGTTTAAATTTTCACAAAAATAATTTTGGCCGCCTAAATCGGTCAAATACCCCTCTGTGCGACAACCGATTTGTTAGCCATTTTGCAAATTAGCCGATTTTGGTATAGGCCAGAGGTGGGCAGCTTCGGCAGAGGATTTATGTAGCGTGGTGCAATTGAAGTCACTGTGTGCGTGCGGACAAGTCCCGTGCAAAAAATGGGACTAATCCTGGATGACTCCGGGAGCAATCGCAAAGGAACATGCGATTAATAACACTTTAGATCTCTTTATATGGAATGAACTGTTCGCTTTTGTTCGAGCATGTCCTATGAAGAGACTATTATACCAGAAAGGGTATAAAAAGCGACTAGTCACTTTTAAAAAATAAAAATAAAAATTTGCGCCAGCTGAGATTCGAACCGGATTGCTCAGTTTTGTTAGGCGAATACTCTCTCTGTGTGCCAACGCCGCACATGAAATTTCATTGACTAAGTGCGTACATATCATTAAATCGTTAATAGTACCCGTTAGAGATGAGT